GCCGATTTCCAGTCGATTTCGTGCCCCGTTCGTGCAATATGTTCCGCTATTTCATTTCTTCCGTATCCATGTTTTTGGAGAGTTTTGAATTTTGCTTGATTCGTAGGCCGTTTTTCTTCCTGTTTGACCGATATACTTCTGCTCACAAGTGCCGCATTTGATGCGATAAACTCCAGAGCAGTCCATTTTGTCAGTCTTCTCGTGTTGCGTCGGTAGACTTGCGAAAAGTGTTTTCTTCTCCTTTAATAGCACATTGATGCTCTGTTGCCTTAGTAACTATCGCAATTTTTGGCTCAGTTCAGATGAGGGCAGGCAAATCCACTTTTGGTCGTCTTCTTGATTCCTGATCGGATTTTCATAAAATCCGAGTTAAAATCTGCCCTACATTTTGTCTTTAAATTCTCTGGGGTACTTGTTTATTAATGAAATTGAGGAATCCATTTAAATTTTCCTTACCATGTGACAAAAGTGCAAAGTAGTCATCCAGATATTGCATAAGCATTCTTGGCTGCAGTGGTGACTTCTCGAATTCTCTTTCCAACTTGTCCATGTACATATTTTCCAAAAGAGGTGAGAGTGGAGATCCCATCGGTCGTCCAAATGATTGCTATTAGATACTGCCATTAAATGTTAAATATATGGTACTTACTGTCAGGTCAGTCAGTCGTGGTAACGATTCTCTCTGTATCCATTCTGTCTCCAGGATATCCTCTTCTCGCTCCAATACCTCCAGCAAGGCGTTTACTGTCTTATCAACTTCAGACGTTCGTGTACATGTATTGGTCATCAAGACTCACCAACAGTTCCGTCCACACCAGCCCAATATTCTGGATCCTTTGGTATTCGAGAGTCTGTCATTTACTTACTGGAGCTTCAAGCAAATGAATTTCGATAGTTTGCGTGCTGCGTCATGCTTGTTGTTGAATGTTAGTCTTAGCGGATTTCTTTCCTTGTGTATCTTCGGTAGTCCGTAGGCTGTCGGTAGTCTTGCGTCATTCTTGATTAAAGATTTCATCATATATCTATCAATTTTCCCATTATTATGAATTTCCTTTAGCATATTCTTCAGCGTACCGTTGATCTTCATGCTTAGATCCTTCCTTAGTATTTGATAAGTGTTCTGGTCGCCTAGGATACACTCCATTTTCTCCGTGTACTGTTTCCTGTCCATTAAAAACGTTGCTCCTCCATTATCCGCCTGAAGAACTATTTGATCATTCTTTTGTAATTTTTTTCATAAACCAGTCAAACAGCTCTAGTGTATCAGGCCGTGATATGCCAGGATCAGTTGGATTATTTCAATTTCCATCTCCCGCTTTGTCTCTTCTGGGTGTTTATCCGATATGTTGACAAATTCCACCAGAATATCACTAGGAGCGTTTCCTTTTTTACATAGGGAAAAAGTTAGCCCTTTCTTTAAGAGATCCATGGTTTCAGAATTAAGAGGGATCAAGGATAGGTTGACCACCTAAGCCTTATCGTCGTATATAGCAGTTGATGCCTTCACCTAAGATACATCAACATTTGGCCGGGTTGGCTTGGTCTTGCGCTTTCTTATAATCCCATAGATAAGCAGGTTCTTGTCATCCTGCCTATTTATCAGATCCACGACCCACTGCGATTTTTGATCCTTCATGGTCTGGCGATTCTGAAAATCACCAGAGGTAACAACCCTGTCTAGATCTTTCCTTAGTCTAGACTTGATATATATGAACGTAACTGGCTTATACCTCTCAGTCCCTTAAATTTTCTCTCATTTATGGATGGAGGCGTGATAAAGTATTTCATCAACTGTGTCCGAATGACACTTCCTCATTAGACTGCAGAATTGGGGAGCGATACCATAATGTTTGCAACAATTCAAAAAGGTCAAATGGATTGATTGAATTAAAATTGTCTTCTCTGTTTGGTTGTAATCGGTGAAACATTCATATGAATTTTATCAGAGAATAAAAACTATGGTCCTGGAAGAAACAGACCTTTTGGTAAATTTTGATGTATATAAATAACTCTGGAATAAATGCCCTAACGGCCATGCTGGAAATCCTGGACCAAGAGAAGGTTATCCTAGAATCAAAAAGGAACAGAAGGGAGTCGTTAGCACGGCTATACAACTTGACAATAAGGACAACCTATCTTACATTCAACAGGACCATCTATAAACAAATATTTTGACTTCCCATGGGATCGCCACTCTCACCTCTTTTGGTAAACGTATACATGAACAAATTAGAATAAAACTTCAACATATCACCGCTACAACCAGCAGTGCTCATACGATAGCTACATGCTTACTTCGCACTTTGGTCACAAGGAAGAGAAAAACAGAAAGATTTTATGGTGTTTATGAAGCAGATTGATGAAAAAATTAACTTCGCGATGGAAGTAGAGGCACGTAGGCGATTATCTATCCTGGATGTTTAAGTGATTCGCTCTAATGAAACGCTCAAAGAGAAGTTGTCCACAAAGTAGTCCTATGCTGAAATAATACTCAATTTCCGGTCCCATCTCAATCACAGGCTAAAGATAGGAATATGGAGGAGCATGATTATCCGAAGCCTACGTCTAATGGATGTAGAATTATGGGACGAGAAGCTGGACAAATTGACGAGGATATTAATAGGCAATGGTTACCCAATCGAAGTGATAAAAAGAAACATACGGGCCGTCAAAAGCCGATGGCAGAACGAAGACTATGAAAGAACAGTGAGGACGATGAAGGACTCACCAAAGTGGAAATGTCTACCGTCCTGCGAACTAACCCAGAAACTAAGGCCAATATTGAGTAAATGGAATATTCTGGTGTTCGTGAAAGAGAAATCAGCCCTTTTCACAAGTCTACCGACATAACATGAAGGGTAGATAAATTGGATTGTTCAAGAGTTTACTGTATATCGTGCGGCGCCTGCGAACAGAAATATATTGGCGAATCTAGGAAAAAAATTAGCAGACAAATCAACGAACATCAAAGGTTCTGCAGGAAAATGGATATCGTAAGATCAGAACTAGCGGAACACATCGCACAGAGACACGAGATCAATTGGAAGGCAATAGAAAGAAGAGCTCCAGACGGTGACAGCACAAGGAAGCGGCCATCGACATCTTTGGGGAGAAAAAA